CAGTGTTTTACTACTGTCACTAGTTTATTTTCAGAGAGCCTTTAATTTTTAGAGCATTGCATGTTTATAGAACAAAAATGAAAGAAATAATTTATTTAAAATCTGGGAGATGACTAAACTGATGTTGGTGCCGATGAGAGATGACAAACTAGATGGAAGGCAAATAAGCAGTCTGACTATATAGACAAATGAACCACTGAGCAAGTGGTAAAAATGCTTCAAGAAGCCGCTCTGTTTTAGAGGAGGTTTAAAAAAGCCTTCTTTCTCCAACTCTCTGTCAGTGATGGTATCTAAATTCTTGTTGCTGAAAAGCGTGGAAGACATAATAGGATGTTGTAGGTAGGCAACTTTTAAAGAAAGGTCTATTGGCTACATCTAAAAGTTAATGTGATTTACAGGTTGTGTTTTGGGAAAATATAGTTATTCACAATATCTTAAAAGATTACTTTCCTATAATTCAGGTTTGGAATGAATAGATCCAAGGAATTCCTACAGTGTTTCCTTATGTATCATTCTTTGGCTATGAGAATGCACTTTCAATAACCAGCAGGCATAACATTTTTGAGGTGAAGTTTAACGTTTTTCTATCTGAAACAGTATTGAATAATCTTTTATTGAGGCACATATCTTTGAGAATATAATGTAAGATATAGAAACTTATTCAAGAAAAGCAGAAAGTTACAAATGATCACAAACTATGGCATATTATATTAGGGGTTTGAGTCTTTTAGAAGTATGGAATCTATCCAGGGGCCAGGTTATGAACCTCTGCTACAGAGAAGTTTTGTGATTTCTCTGCCTGTTCAGACCCTTAGAGAGAAAAAGAAAAATTCTTCAAGATTTAGAGCAAGACCTTTCCTTGGTTTTAAAATAGCAGGTCTAATTTTAGTTATTCATCCTGTTTAGTGTGTAAATGCCTGGAAGCAATGAAGAAATAATGCACAAAGAAAAATTATAGTTATGAAATCCTCTTTTTTCCAGAAAAGTTTATTTTTGTGAAAGACAGTTGAAAACAAATCTCAACATGAGTTTTTTCAAAATAAATATGCCCAAATTTTCTCTCTTATTATTCAGAAGCATATTACTTGCATCATTCATTACTATAGTAGTTTTTAATAATTTTAAGCATGAGAATACATCATTTCTCAAAGAAGTTGGACATCATTTTATTCCTCAGTCAAATTACATGAGAAAGAAATGTTCCTTTAGTGTACCTCTACCAGCTATCTCCATCAGAATCTGATTGTCTATGTAAGCTTCATGAATGATGTGTACCAAAAATCTGAGAAAGATTAAGCCCAAGTCATCTAAAAAGTTTTATATGTAGTGCTGTCTGATTTAGACATTACTGTATCTATGAAGCATTTAGAAAATACTAAAAGTGTTAGTTAGATAATGATAATTACCTGCAGTGGTCAGAGGTAGTAACTATAAGCCTCTGATGTACATCATTTAAGGCATTTTATGTATCAACATAAAATATCAGGAGAAATAATACATGGGTGGAAAATAATTCATCATCCTGTTTTAACATTATATTTTCAAGTCTTTAATAAAATATCTAAAATTGACAAATGTAATACATATTGTCTACTATCATTGAAAAAATGTAAGGGGATTTAAAGAAAAAGTTAACAATGTGCTGTTTTAGCTCCAATTTTATCCTCTGAATGTGAGAATCTTAATAGCCTAATATGCAGACTTGCAGTTTCCTCTGATCCTAGTAAATAAACCATTACATACACTTACATGGACTGTTTTTCTCATTGTTCATTTATAAGAAGTGATTTTTAACATACATTTTCACTGACATGTTTTTCACCATAAGAATTACTTCAGGCTGAGATACATAGATGTCACTAACTTTTAGCTGTATTTAGATTTGGTTAAATAGATATTAAATTCCATAGCTGGAGGCAACTAGAAGTGCCACAATGAACTTCTTATATTCTTAAAAATGTCTGTGTTTCTATAAGATGGATTTCCAGGAGATGGTTTTCTTGGTAAGATATTGCATGATTTTTTATTTTAACAGATATTGTCAGATAATTGCCAAGTAGTACAGGATTTTAGAGTGCCCAGACAGTTTTTAGAGTTTAGAGTTTAGAGTTAGAGACAGTTTTTCGATTTTAGAGTATGCAGACAGATACAGCAGGTATCTCACCTGTTGCTTATATTGGAGTAATGTAAATTTTCAATGTGACACATTAAAATATGTGGGATTCCAACATTCATTATATTTTTCTCTCACCTGTTAAAGGTAATTATATTTCTTGAGTGTTGAATCATTTGGTTTTTTTCTTTAGAAAATGGTTGTATTTGCATAAATCTTTTCAGTCCTTTCCAATAATTATTTCTTCTTGGTTTTGTTTCTATTCTTTCATTTCTTTAATTCTTTAATAAATTTTAATTTTATTAAGTATTTGAAGTATTATTCCTTCTATTTGCCACATTTATAGCAAATATCTCTTATTTCATTATGTTTCTGTTATTGTGCTTATTTTATTATCCATTAATGAAGTTCTAATTTTTATGGAACTGCATTTATAATTTGAACTAAAAAAACTTGTTTCCTTTTACTTTCTTAGTCCCAGATTATCAAATATCTTAATTCTTCCTACCTGCTCTTCTTGAGTCAATGTTGTGAAAGCATCTTAATGTTCTTGTACTTTAAGGACAGTTCATATTACTAATTCTTGCTTTATTCACACTATATTTGATTGCACACTTTATTTTATCCAATATTTTATTCCATTCTTTTCACTCTTTCTACTTAGATTCAGCACCTTTCTATCCAAAATTCATCTCTTAGTAATTTTTTTCACATAATGTCTACAATTTATCCTCACTGTACATTCCTATTTTAAGCAAATATAGAATTCTAAATATAGAATTTAAAGCTGTTTTTCTTGAACACCTATAAGATGACTGCAGTTATAACACAAAATAGAAATTTTATAAACATAAATTATTATAAAATTAGTTGAACAAAAATAATTAGGTCTTTAAAGAGTACGAGATATTGATGATTTGAAAATTAATATTTCAAAGTCTGCTGATATTGGTTAATGAATTCAAGAGGAAGCTTTTAGAATGTTATTCAGAGTCATGACTTCAGCTTTCATAATGGCTTTTAGATAATTCAGGCCAAAAAAAATGCAGAAAATGTCTACTTGAAATTCACAGCTAATGCGATGATGAAGGAAGGAAGCGGGAGAAGAGGAAAATTAATGAGGTTTATGAAATCCTGAGCAGGAATAATACAAAAACAAACAGACCCCTAGGTTTCATATGATCCCTAATTTCAAAGAGTATCTTTTTCCCCCATTTCTGGAAAATTTACAGCTGTTATTTTTTACGTATCATATTTTGGCTTTCCCCAGATTTTCTATTAGATGTATGCTGAATTGTCTCTATCCATCTTCCAAAGCTTGTAAATCTTTATTCTTATTTCTATTGTTCTATATTTGAATTATCTGATAAAGATAATTTTCTCATTTAATCAATATCATTTGATTAATTTTAATCTTTAAATTAATGTATCTGTTTCTCTTTTCAATAATTTTATTTCTTTTTAATAATTTTTCAATAAAATGTCTTTTATTCTTCTCTGAAATATTGCTTTTTTTAGCCTCATGTCATGCTCTGAGTTACAGTTTAAATATATAAACGTGCACGTAGCTTCTTTTAGCTTGGACACTTTCTTTTTCATGTCTCTGTTGAATTTCCAGCATCTAGGTTGTAGCCAATGACTTGCAATGTTTTCTTCTGATTTTGTGATGAGCAATAACTGCTTTCTTTGAGAATTCATTTCCCCTGAAATTATATATAAGGTTTAAAGATTTCACATTCTTGAATCCTAAGAGTTTTTCTAGTTATACAGCAAGGTTTGCATCAATTTTTCAGCTTTGGGCAATGAAATTTGTGCAAATGTATACTCTGTACCTATATACACTGCAAACCAAACTTCAAATTTTGTGACCATCCTGCCCAATTTCACAGCTAGAAGCAAAGTCTATGTATGGCTGTGATAGATTAGTTGGCAGAATTTCCTTTCCATTTTATATGTGACATAATCCTTCATGGTTCTAAGCTTGAGGGAAGGCAGCCAAGTTCTCCTTCTTTCCTTGCGTGTTCTTGAGTCTTATCTCTTGTTCCTACACATACAACAAGCTCCAGACTCAATAGTTTTCATCCTTTTTTGATAGCATGTGGAACCATTTTGGCTTCCTGAGTGACTAGCTGTCATTTAAGTTTCTCTCTTTCTGTCTGGACTGAAGATTTCAGCTCAGTATGAGTTTTTCATTAACAAGAAAAATGTTCAATTTTTCTATGGATTAGAAGTAGAAGAGTGATTGTTCTCTCATTCTTTCATATTGTTTTTGGACAGCCATGTCTATCTGATGTTTTCCCTGAGAAACTCCTCACCCTCCTACATAAATGTACCTTTGCCTGCATTTGTTGTCTTGTTTTCCAGTCAAACATCAAGATAGACCTTCTGTGTAGCTATAGTCTCCTATATCCTGATAGCTCACAATATATATTCTAATGGTACTATTTATTCCAAGATTAATATTTATTTTTCACACATTTAATAAGAAATCTATGTAAATACATATACATATATGCCAATAACTTGCATACTACATATATACCTTGCCTATTATAACTGTCAAATTGAGGATAAGAAAAAGAACATGTATTTACCATTTTTTTTCATTTAGCTGGTGCTTAAAATAAATCACCAAAAAAAAAAAACCCAAAGGAACTTTTAGTGTTATTTTCATCAGGCTGATGAAAAGAACTTTTGCTTGACCTGAGGAAATGACATGGGGAAAAGTATGAGCCATTCATGCAAATGCTCTCTAGAGTGCTTTCTCTCCTATACTTGGAGATTGGACTACAATCCATTTTGCAGACTCGTGTATACTTTCACTCTCACTGGTATTTTTATGTCCATAAGCATTAATGAAGTTTAAGTGTGCTCTGGTATTTCATAGCTGACACAGTGGAGTACCTTTGGAACTCTGGAAGTGACGCCTGATCTTGAATTAGAAACACGGCCACTCTCAGTGGTGACAGAAGAAGATTGTGAAATTCTTAAAATCCCTGCAAAGGACTATGCAAACTTAAAATTGGTAAGTTGTCCATATCCTTTGTTTTAACTTGACTTAACCTGGAGACATAAAAATGTGCCTTACTTGGTGAACGTCTCCTAAGAAGTCTCTGCTCTTGCTAGGTAGTTGAGCTGAAATCAAAGTTCTATACTGACATATGTTATATATACTTCTGAGTGTCCTTCATAAATTTTTTTCATGAAGTTTAAACTCTTTCATTCAGCAAATAAGTGCTTTGGCTGTCAACAGTATGCCATGTGTTATGAATAGGAAACGACGAGATACGTAATAGTACTACAGCTCTCCAAATTTCTAGTCTCCGTCTTACTTCACAGTGATTGGTGCGCCGTCTCGCAGTAACAGCAAATGTACAAACTCAGCGCTGCATGAAGAGGTGACCACCCTTCACTTCTGATGCCTGAACTTTGCTGCTTTGAAATAACTCACTTGTGTAAATTTAATTATTTTTAGCTTTTCTGGTGAAATCCAGATTTTGCCCTTTGTCCTGTTGTCATTCCCTTGGATATGAAAGGAAGCGTCTTTGAGTGACGGAGTGAGGAGTTCCCCACGGTCCTGCTCTGCCAACTGCTCTTATCAGGCTCTATGATTATGCAATGCAGACTTAATACAATGCCAATACATTATATGATACTTTATGTTTGCATCATTTTTCTCTCTCTGCAATTTCTCTACTCGGTATTTTTTCATTTCTTTTAAAATTAACTGCCACTGGAAACTTGACCATGACCCTCCTTTCCAGGAAAAAGCAAAACTTGAAAATATACAGAAGATGAAATTAATCCGTAAGTGTCCTTATTACGAGGAGTGGCCTACTCTATCCATATGTGAGCTAACAGCACTTATTAAATGGAAGAAATTTCCTGCAGGTCATGGTGAGTTGAAGTAAATTATAGATTTCTTAGATCATATTATACTATTGGACTTTGTAATTCTTCACAGTTTTAATATTTGTAAATAATGTCTCTCTGAAGAGGAAATCTCTACCTTTAAATTTGACACTTAGATGATTTCCTGTGTTTCATTATAATGATATTGTGCTGACCTGAGGTATACCCTCAGAACTAGCCTTACTTGCTTATCTCTGTATGTCCCCCAAAAATCCTATTCCTTTTGGCACATCCTCATCATTACACTGAGGACTGAACTGAAAAGAAGAGAAGCAGTAGGTGCTTATAGTCATTTTTTCCCATCTTCCTGATTGGATAACTACTTAAAAGCAAGTTTGTTGATGCATACTTGTTCTACATTTATCACTGGAAAAAATAACAATTACATCTTGAATACCCTCTTCTCCATACGCTTAGAACATGAAATATTTCAGATTCAGGGGTTTTTCAGATTTTTTAATATCTGCACATACAGTGTATAACACCATCCTGGAGACAGAAACCAAGCCTAAATTTTAAAACATCGTTTGCATTTTATACACATAGCCCGTAGATAATTTTATACAGTATTTTTAATGTGCCAATATTTGACTGAGTCTGATCACATGAGGAATTTTCTGATCACAAGTGTGGAATTTTCTACTTGGGCATCATGTTGGCACTTAAAAGATTTTGAATTCTGTAGCATTTTGAATTTCAGATTTCCAAGTTAAGGATATTCCTTTCTACAGAAAATAAGTGAGGCCTAGCTAAGAGGCAATAGCAGTGAGGGACGTATCTCTCAGTATTTAACATGACATTGATGTGGGGACCTCCTGGGCTACGTGTACACAAATGTGGAGGCAGTATTGAGTCATGCTGAAGAATTTTTCTACCTGCCAGAAGCAATTAAGTACAGAAGCCAGCACTGAAAAAACTATGGTAAGAGGATCATGGCTTTGCATCTCCTTCTGTAGGGAACCATTACTGCCTCACAAGAATGGCCATGAACAACAGAGATGTGATTGTCATCGTGCCTTGATCGCTTCCCAGTTCAGTAGCAGAGGGTATAATACCTGGACTGTACTGGAAGAGGAAATATTTCAAAGAAATATTCCCACTCCAAGTTTAACAGATACAATTGTAGTTAGCGACACTTCAAAGTTAAAGATTAAAGATTAAAAAAGAATGGGTTTGAATTGTAAATTCCAGAGGCTATTGTGGTAATAGAAGTCATGAGATCTGGCTAAGATATGCTTGGAAAAATTTATTAATCAATAGTAATGTTAGGGTCAGCTTAACCCTGGAACAAACATTTCTTTTGTTAGAAAAAAGTATATATCAATAGGCAAAAGTTTATGTTTCAAAGAATAAATCAGATTAATTTATTGAGACCAAAATTTTCCCATATTTCCAAAGTTTTAGTGCTTGTATTTGGTTTATTATTTTTTGAAATACAGTATTTAACCCATGCTTTGTCAAACATATATGTATATCCTATAAAAATTGAATGTTAGTAATATTGTTTTAATTCATGAAGTATTTTTCTGAATGAGGTTTAATTGTCATTTCTTAATCAACATGAAAGACTGTGAGTAAACTAACTTATAACAATGGAAATTAGCATTTTGAAATTCACCATATTTGTTACATAGAAATAATTTTTAAAAATCTGTATATTTTGGATTTATAGGTTTACTCTTTGTATGAGAAATATAAAATATTGTTTTGTGTCACTTCCAGAGCCATTACATATAAAAAGGAGTACCTTAACCTTGTCAATCTATCATTATAGAAATATACTTGATGTGATTATCAATGAAAAATGATATCCTATCTAAAATTCAGTGAGCCAAGGGGCTGGGGATTTAGCTCAGCGGCAAAGCGCCTGCCTGGCAAGTGCAAAGTCATGAGTTCGGTTCCCGGTACCGGAGAAAAACCAAAAAAACAAACAAACAAACAAAACAAACAAATAAAATTCAGTGAGCCAAAAGGATATAAAATTTCAAAAGGGAGCGTAATTCTGTGTTTTTAATGTATTCATTTTCTATTAATAATCTCATAACCTAAAACTGCTATAAAACGCTTAAACTTAGAATGAAAGATTAAAAGGTAGTAGATTTAAAACAATATTCGTTAGATTAATGTTTAATCCAATAATTTTTGGTACATAACTTGAAAAGCAGTGGAGAAATTTGCTAAATTACCTATTAGATTGGAATATCTATGATTAGAGTTAAGTAGTAAAAAATATATTTTCACTGAACCCTAAAAGTACAAATGTACAGTATTTATATTTATACAGTTCTAGGAAACATTTATTCTTTTTAGAGAAAAGTGAAATTTCAGCCAATGGCCCTTTTAGCACTGAACTATTATAATTCTTATAATTAAACATATATAGGTGAAAAATAAGTCCTGTCAAACTAATTTAATTTTCTTTTATGGTAGTGACAAATGATATATCAAAAAGGAGCATAAGTTTTAATGCTTCTTGAATTTATATAAAATTTAGTTTGAATTACAAGAAAATGTAGTTTTTTAATTGTTATCAAAAATATAGAGAATGTAGCTCAAATTATACTTTCATTATCTGAGTTTAAAATTAACAGAACTATGTTACGATTTCCAAAGCATAATAATGTGCGTTCTGATTTTATTTTAACAATTGATATTGGACAAAGTTTCAGAGGGATTTAGTTAATTATTCAAAACCTTAATTGAGCTTAGACTTAATCCTTTGCAATCTTTGCAACATTAAAGCTTGTTTTTAGCTCTATTTTCTTTGCTTACTTCATGAATCTTCATACTTTTGACCCATATGCCAACGGAACCCGACTCTCATGGATATATACACGATTGCAATTTCAGCAATTTGTATCGCATCCCAAATCTTCCCAGGTGTTTTTCATCCACCGTGTGGCTGATTGGACTACAGCAATTAGTGATTACATAACTAACCTGTTTGCGTGTGTATCATATGTATAAAAAAAGAGTAAGCTTACCTGGAATATATTTAGCTACTCATATGTCTTTCTTTTGTTATCTTGCATTGGTTGGTAAGCTCCATTTTTTTTCTAGGAAGAATTTGGTATAACAAACATGATCATTAGAGAAATTGAAATAAAATCATAGCAATCAGTTTAGTCCTAAAAGATAAAATATGTGCAAATAATGATGATAGTAAAAGATAGATCTGCTCTTCACAAACTGCAAGTAGATTGTTTCAGTACAGAACATATATTTGGAAGCTTTACCTAAAGTGAGTTTGAGGTTTACTGGATTCAATCTCCAAGCCTTTTTGACATCACACTTTTACAAATCAAATTAACATTACAGGTGATCAAAACTCTTATCTCAAGTGACACTCTTGTGTATCTCAAAGTCATATTTGTGTCTAAAATAATTATTGTCAACATCCCTGGGATCATGACATCATTTTGTTCTTCATTGTTCCTTTACTGGCCTCTTTAGCTCAGTTAATGCATTTTAATTTTACTGTAATCCCCGTGCTCAGGAGGCTGAGGCAGGCGGATCGTTGTGAGTACGAGACTAGCCTGGGTTTACAAAGTGAGCTCAAGGCTGGCTTGAACTGCATAGCAAGACCCTGTCTCAAAAAGACAAAAAAAGTATTTTAGTGTAATACTTTGTAGTGTATTATCTTGAATAAATCATGCATAGTAAAATAATTTGTTGAATCTATCAATGAATCTCTTGTCATTATTTTTAAAACTCACATGTAGATATCTTTCTACTATACAGGCTAACAAGACAGGGAATTATCAACAATAAATGTAATTACAATATAATATGTCCTCAAGTTATAAAATTTTCTTGTCATTAGGCATATTCAATGAATAGCACTGTAAGAAACAACTTCAAGAATGATGAGTTGTAATGCTTGGCTGCCTATCTTAAACTTGTAGCTTACTCACCAGGGTTACAAACCTAAAGGGTACCACTTCTATCATGAATAGGAAGATTTTTTTTTAATCTCAAAGACTTAATAATTGGACAAATTTTATGAGCGTAATTTTTTAAAAAGAAAAAAATAAGCGAACAATGAAATTCAGTTTTGAAACATGTTACTTGGACAGTAACAATAATTGGTACACTGTATATTGTTGTTTTCATATTAGTTAATCAGAGTACAAGATATAGGTGTGATATCTTGTCTAATCAATATTAACACAAAACATTCTCTTGAAGGAACTGAGAAGCTCACTGTAAAACTATGTTAACTATAGTTATAGTTGGGTACATATATATATGTATATATATATATATATATTTAAATCCTTTTCCCTTTCTTCCTTTCCCCTTTTCCCTGTTGCAGTTTGACTTTTCTTTTGAGTATTTTTCCCAGTTCAAAATATCTATTGTCTGTTTCAGATCCTGTTTTCTTGTTCAATTTCTCACACCAGTGAGACAATACAATGTTCACACATATGGGTCTGATTTATTTCACTTGTGAGCATTCTCTCGAATTGCTTCTATTTACCTATAAAAGTCTTCAGTTTATTCTTCTTTATTGCTGAGTTGTATGCCATTATATAGGAAACACATCTTGTTTATCCATTCCTTAGCTAATGGGCATTTGGGTTATTTTAAAGATTTAGCTATTACAAATTATGCTGTAATAAACATGGATTCACATATATCACTGTAGTATGATGTTTTTAATTCTTTTGGGCAGATGCCCAGAAGGAAAATAGCTGGATCAATGGGACCTGTAATCCTAGTTTTCTAAGGAGTCTGCACATTGATTTCCAGTGGTTGCACCATCCTACACTCACACCAGTACACTACAGCCTATACTCACACCACTACACTACACTTCACGCCAGGAAGTGTTCCTTTTCCTCCACAGCCCCCCAGCATTTGTTATTGATTGATTTCTTGAGGATAGTCATTCTTTCTGGGATGAGATGGAATCTCAGGGTTGTTTTAATTTTCACTTCTAGATTGATCAATGATGTAGAACATTTTTTCATATATTTATTTAT